TTTATTTTTGTAGTCTGTTTACTAAGTTGCTTTCCTTTGAAGGAACAGTCTTCAAAAGAGTTTCATATTTTGTCTGATTCACTTTTTCTCATGCTTTCTTAAAACACTTCAGACAAGTTTTTCTCCCAGGCTTCCTCAGTCAAAATGCTTGGTTAATATTAGCAATGGCTTCCATGTTGCTTAATCTGGTGGCTGATTCTCAGTCTTTAAGATAATCTGGCCCAGACACCTTCTGCTTTGCTAGTTTTTGTTTTATCTGTTTTTGTTTCTTATTGAGTCATGGTGTCACTGTGTAAATCCAGTGCAGCATTGTGATCCACCTGCCTCAGGCTCCAAGTGCTGGGGGTGATTTGTAGTCATGCGATACATCCTCTGCTCTGAGTTGTTTTTTCCTACTCTTCTGATGTCCCCCTATACAGCTCCTGCATTCTATCTTCTGTGGGACCTGAACTCCAACACAGTATGATGTTCAGTGCTTTGTTAGTTTTTCTCTTTAGGATACCTGGGTGACCTAATCCATCCTCTTTGTTTAGAATCCAACGTATTTATTGAAGGTGATCATATTTTCATTTCCAGTCCCAACCAATCCCATACTGCAAATCCAGATTCCAGTGTCCTGACCTGGTGTCATTACTGGAAGACTGACTACAAGTTACCTTACATGCAGTGTAGCTTCTAGTCTGGCCCACACTCGTCTCACACCAATCATTTGTTCAGGTGCAAATCCTTGAGTTGCCTTGAGTCTCAATTCACACTCCAGCTGTAATTCCCCACACTCAGGGGTTAGCCTTCAGAGGTCCAGATTCTTGAGTGCTGATGAACGAATTTTCGTTAGCATCCTTTGGTGGCTTAGAGGGGTAACTCTTCATCGGTATCTCTTTACGTTCTTCTTTTTAAAATGTCACTACCCTTTGTTACCCTAAAGCCATCACAGCGATTATTTCAAGGAGTCTTAATATTAATATTAAATTTAATATAATATTAAATCATGAAAGCGTTTATTTGCAGACATGGTTGCTTGTATCTCAGGCTGGCCTCAGACTTGCTATCCAATTGAGAATAGCCTTGCACATTGACCCTTAAACTTGCTTCCATCTCTTGCATGCTGGCATAACAGGTGTGCAACAACATACCTGGTTTATGTGGTCCCAGGGATTGAACTCAAGGCTTTAGGCATGTTAACAAGCATTCTACCCCCAGCCCTTTACTTACTTCTGTTTTATTTTAATTTGAAGTCTGCTCGTATCCCTCCCATGAATCTTGTCCCACTCACAGTACAACTGGACTGAGGACTACAATACTCTTGATTTTTGCACCCCAGTTCTCTCTGATGCCATCTGCCTCTCCCGTTTACTCTAGCTCTTTAAATACACATGATCCCTTCAGTATACCTTCAGGGACTTGGCATCCTCTTTTGTCTTTAGCAGCGTTTTCCCACAGATGTCTAAGTGAACTACTTTAGTTCCATCCAGTCCTTGGAGAGAAATACCCAGGAGGCACCCAATGATCACTGTGCTTAAAATGGCGGTCTGTTCGTACCCATGCTGTAGTCCTGGAAGAACAATGGTAAAGGCTAGCTCTGATGGTTTCTTTAGACTCAGGGATGCCAGGGAATTTGATCCTCCCTATAAGTTTTTCCAAACACTCAAACTCAAGATTTGCATGTAGCATGTCTGTATTTCATCAAAGAGAATATGGCTAAAGATATTAAGTAGCACACAAAGTGTTACTAGTGCTTAAATGCTGTGGTAAGTCTTGGTGAGGGACAGCCACTCTGGTAGAAGGATGAGGCTTCTGTCTCTAAAGGGCCACTGAACTGGCAAGTTATAGCTAGAGGGGCGGTAATGCATACCTGTCATCTGTCAGTATCATGAGCATCCCAAGTGTGCAATGACTTGTAGACATTAGAGATGGCTTGGAAGCTGTGAGACTTCAGCTCAGCTGAATCCCCTCTTTGCTGTCTGTCCAGAGTTTTTCTCTGAAGCTGGAGACAGTGTGGGTTCCATTCCAAACATTGTATCAAAACTACCATCACAGTAAAGAGAGTCACTAAGTCATTGATTTTCCTGTACTTACAACATGCATGTCTATACTACACTGAATAGCACTAAGTATGTAACAGCATTATGTCTAAATAAACAGTATGCACAGCTGAAGTAAAATCCTTTACTGAGGCCTCAGAGCTTAAGAACATTGGCTGCTCTTTCAGAAGACCCGTGTTCGATTCCCAGCACCCACATGGTAGCTGACAAACTGTGTATAACTCCAGTTCTGTGGTGTCTAACACCCCCTTCTGGCCTCTGTGGGCATCAGGAATGTATGTGGCACACAGATATACATGCAAAAAATACACTTGTACATATTAAAGTGAAATTTAAAAATACTTTATTGCTAAAAATTCTGAGGATCGCCAGAGGTATGGGAAACTGGCACCCATAGACTCCATCACTATGTGTTTGTCACAAACCTTCAGTCTGTAAAAACTGCAATAGCTTTGAAGTGCAACAGAGTAGAGCCCAATGAATTTGAGTATGCTTTCCCATACCTAGGTCTTTTCTTAGAGAATGATGCCTACTTGTGATTTTTGATTCATATTATCTCATTTTAATTGTTTTAGTACCAACCCCTTTCCCTGGCTCTAAAGATTCTTTTCCCTAAATCCTTATAACAGGATATGTAACACAATTTCATTCCTGCTTTTTGTTCATCTCCCTAAGTTTAAAGGTGAGGTTTATGGAGGAAGATGTATTTTGCCTTTTGTTCAATGGATAGCCCCAATATCAAGGGTGTGGCACATTATATATACCCAATAACTATTCGCTGAATGAATTGAGAAACGTTTATCTCTCTCTATCTCTGTTCCTCCCTCTCCCCCCTCTCTGTCTCTCTGCAACTTTTATGCATTCAGTATCAGACATAGTGCATGGTGAAGACAAGAAACATCTTCTGCCTCCATGTTTCCTAGGACCTACAATATGAACATTATTCTTGGAGAGGTTGGCAGGTTGACCAGTTACCAAGGTCCTTGGGGAGGCTTCCCAAATCTAATCAGGATAAAGGGCCTTGGAGAAATAATTTTCAGGGGGAGTCACATCTCAGCATCAGCAATATAAGAGAAAGGCATAATGCAATAAATACCCATGAAGGAGAACTGTTATTTCCCCAAACAGAGATCCCCAGGCAGGTCATTTGTACAATTTGGTCTTTGCTATGGGCTAAGGGAGATAGTATAATGAGAGTATGTCCCCACAGTGCTCAAAGTAGCCCTAAATAAACTAAAGTAGGAATCCTGCCAAAGAAGACCCCAAGTAGTGAAAGAATAAGAGGTTTTAATTCCATTTGTAAGCCACTACATCCACCAAACTGCTATTGTAGTGACATGGAAATGGTCATGTGGTCCAGTGTGTCAGTGTGCAGATATTTATTTAAAAAATAAATATTTAGTTTCTTTTAACATGTGGCAAGCTACAGAAGTAGGGAAGATTTTAGTCATGGGCACCTGTGTTTTTGTATCATTTTAAAATGCCACAGATGACTAGTTCATAAAAGACCTAGTGGGTTTTTAAATGCTTTCACGAGCCTTTGCTTTGGTTATTTATTTGTTCTGCAATGGCCATTCTTTCTTTATTGTCATTTATAAAGTCCTTGTCTTTTTGGGTCTAACTAGAGTCACATTTTCTCTCTCAGTTTCTGTGGAGCTGCCTTCTTAGTCCTTCTCTCCCCTTATGATTAATTGATTAACTGCTTTCTTCTCTGTGTTCCCAAAACATTTATCATGGATTGAGGTATTATTTATTTACCTGCCTCTGTGTTTCAAGGACATCTTCATCATCTTTGTTTTCATGGTGACTGCTGCAGACACTGCCTGCTAACACTTGTTCTGTAAGTGGTTACTGGAGTAAAGAATTAGAATGGATTTTTTTGTCTTGGCCATGGATTCATCCGGCAAACATATATTGAGGAATTTTTGTATGCAAGACACTGGTGTGTGTGCTTCATAGATGCTTGAGAGAGAGAGAGGAAAAAAAAGCAAATCAGATGCTTAAGTTCTGAAAATTCTATGATATGTTGTAAGAAAGAAAAACAAGTCATGCATAAAAATAACTAATCCATGGTGGTAGGTGTTATTTTCTTATGGGTGTGTGTGTGTGTGTGTGTGTATGTGTGTAAGAGAGGGAGGAGGTGAGGGAGAAAGACAGAGAGAGGGGAAGAGAGCCACTGAAGAGGGAGAGAGAGGGAGGGAGGGACAGAGGGGAGAGGGCATAGGGGTGAAGGAGAGGAGAGGGAGGGGTAGAGGGAAGAGAGAGGGAAGGAGGGACTGGGGAAAGAGGGGGGTTCCCATCTGAGTTCAGAAATATCTAACTATTGGCTAAGAAAATGTTTTCCCTATAAAGTGGCTAGCAAACTGAGTCCACACAGCAGTTCGCTTCTGGTCTTAGAAATGAGTTTAAATTCTGCCTCCCATCTAAGGACATGTCCCAGCCTCACTGTGGCTTGGTGTGCCAGTGTAGAGGTCTCAATGAAAGTCCCTCTCAAGGTTGTGTTCCTGCTTGCCAAACTGTCTACATTTAAAAGGAAAGTGGTTCCCTTCAGCCTCAGGGTATGAATTTCATGCATTCCTACTTTTTCTGAGGTCCCCCTAAGAGATAATTCCTCCCCTCTAAGTGATAATTCCTCCACATGTTGCTACAAGTTCATTCCTAATTGCTATTAGGAAACTGGCTGTAGAAAGCTTACAACAGAACTTAACAGTAAAGCCATTGAAAGAATAATTCAGTCAGAATTGTATCCAGGAATATTTTGTTGTTGTTGCTCTTTTTCTTTTAAGGTTGATGAGAGCAGCTTGAATGCTTAACATTTAATTATATTTAAGCCATCAGGTTTTTGAAAACTTGCTGGTATATTTGCATGTACTGCATATGGTATAAGGTGGCTACTGTTTTGCATAATCATGGGTTTTTAACCGATGGGCTCCAAGAAATGTTTCTGTTTTTGTTTAGACTTGGATTATCACTTGCATTTATCTTCAACTGCTCCTATTTAATCCTCTCGTCAAAACTAAGGAGATCTGCGGGAATCCAGTGACTGATAATGTAAAAGACATCACAAAATTGGTAAGTAAGAAATGATTTGGGCAGCTATGACTCTTCCCTGTGCTTGCTGACCATAGACTTAGGGCAATCCTGCCCCGAGTTCATAGTTCTCTAAGACAAGGGTGTTGTAAGTTTGAAGGGCTTCTATAGAGCACATGAGAGATGTTTAGGTCTTGGAGGAGTTGTCTGTAAAAACTGGCCCACTGAGCACCAATGCAGGCTTTAGTTCTTTGCTGGTCTAGTCCCCAGCATAGACAGTGGCTGACTTTTCCCCGTTATCTGCTGAGGGAGTTTCTCCGAGTGACTATGTCTGTCACATGCCTTTCTGCTCTTGTAGGAAGTTTAGCTGCAGGACACCTATGATGGTCATGTTTCCCTATAAGCAAAAAGATTGTCATGTGTGGCAAGAGATTTGCTCCCAGTGAATGTAGCAAGAGGTGCTTCTCCCACACCCTAGAACCACTCACCTCCATGCTTGTCACACTGGAAGTCTTCCTTCAGCAAAAGTCATTCTGTACACATGTGGCTTGGCCGCAGCCAGCTTCCTACTTTGTTTTTCTTGATGCTTCTGTCAAGACTCAAGTCAGAGCAAAGCACAACTGGAATGCACTCTTGTGACCTAGGAGAGATGTTTTATACTTACTTGGGAGACCGAGTATGATTTCAGTATCATCAAAATTTGAGTTAGGCATGACGAAGTACACATTCAATGACTCAAGAAGCTGAGACAGGAAAATCATAAGGTGGATAACAGCCTATTTATAAAAGAAAGGAAAGCAAATTGAGTGAAAATTCCTTAACTACGAGACTCTCAGTTATTTAAAAATGAACTAGAGAACATAGGTGATACAAGAAAGGGGAAGAAATAAGAGTTGTTATATGGAGAAAATGAATAAAGTGCACTCATTGGTATTAATATATGAAACAGAGGAAGCTCTACCTTTAGATACACATTACTGGTTTATAGGTTGATTGTGGGTGTGTGTGTGTTGTTCATAACAGAACTTTAAAATAGAAACTGAGTTCTGTAGTTATGGTTTGGCTAACTTAGCTTCAGTGAAGAATTACACACACACACACACACACACACACACACACACACACACACACACACACACAATTTATTCAGATTCCTTGGCATGCCAAGACATTCCAGATTTAAAAGCATTCTTGCCCAGTGTGCACAAGGCCCGGAGTCTGTTCCCTAGCGCTGAAAGTCATAAAATAGCTGACAGTGTATGCATGTTTCACGTGAAGGTCTGGTGAGCAAAGTACTTGCCACTATTGGCTCTCCAGCTCAGTGTCAAGTACCAGATATATGGGGGTGAGGAGGAAGTAGTTTTGGAAACATAGATCATGGCCCTTTTCTTCAAGTTTCCCATTAATTGGCAACCCAAGAGATATTAAAAAGACAATCTGTGTCTATATACTAAGTTTTGTGTATATTAATAGAAGATGTTAATTTGTTGAACCACCCGTCCACCTTGTGTGTTGGGTATGTGGTATTAGCTAAGTAAGTGCTTTATTCTTGAGTACATGCATCACCAGCACAAAATTCAAGTATTTGGGAAATTTGTTGTTTTCTTTTGTATATGTGTGTGTGTGGTTTTTTGTTTGTTTGTTTGTTTGTTTGCTTCATTTCTTAAATTCAGACTTTCCTGTGTAGACTACCTTGAACTCATCGAGGTTGTGATCTTTTTAATTCATGCCATCATACACCAGGCTCATTGTCCTAGTTTTCCTTTCCATTGTTGTGAGTAACAGAAACAACTTTAGAGAGAGGGTTTATTTGGCTCAAAATTCGAAGTTATAGTCCACCACTGAGGGGAAGTCAAGATGGCAGGGACTTGAAGCTCCTGGTAACATCATGCCACAGTCAGCAGAGAGCATTAAATTAATACATGGGTGCCAGCACTCAGTTCACTTCCTTCATTCTAATACAGTAGGCATTTCAGGCCCAGGGAATGGTGCCACCCACAGTGGGTAGGTCTTTCCTCTCCAATTAGAGCAACCAAGATAGCCTGCCACAGATATGCTTACAAAGCAACCTCATGTTGAGACTCCCTTCCCCAGGTAATTTTATGTGGTCTCAAGTTGACAGTTAAAACTAACCCTGACACTCATCATCATCCATTGTTATTGGGTGAATGGAGAAGGCACAGGCTGCACTTTGATGCACATCACCATTGCTTGAGGAGCTTGTGAAACATTGGGCTCTGATCCAGGGAACTGATTCAGTATGTCTGGGAAAGTGTCCAGGCACCTACATTTTTCATGAAGTTCTGTAAGGAGGTTTCAGAACAGCTTGCTTTAGATGGCCTATTCTGTCAAAAGCTCAAGGTGCAGCTCAGGGCTAGAAAACTTCCATGTGTGATGCCATAAGTTCAACATTGAGTGCTGCAAAAAGTAAACGAATAGACAGATAAATAAATAAATATTAATATAAAACCAATCTAGAGGTCATTATCTTTGCTGTATATTCAGTCCCAATTCTTATCTCCAAGTGATTCTATCTTGTATAGATTTTAAGAATATTGGTTAACACAAAGTTCCAACATACGCTTTAAAGTAGGTCACTGGAAAATAACCTCCTGGAGCTGCTACTATATTGGTGGATGCTGAGAATAAGTTTGAGGTGCCACAAATTTCAAATAGGTGGTCACGAGCTAGAGAGATGCTCAGAGGTCAATAGTACAAGCTGCTCTTTTGGATGACAGGGTTCTGTAACTCCAGTTCTCGGGGATCCTATACCCATTTCTGACCTTGACACCAGGCATACACATGGTGCAGAGGTAAACATTCAGACATGCAGAAACACCCATACACACAAAATGAAATAAATTTAAAACAGGTGGTCCACTTGTCGGAAGATGAGGCATATCTGACCACAGGCTGAACATATGGTGATGAATTGCAATGCTTAAGAGAAGTTCCTTGTAAGGTGTTGAAGGGACACGAATTAATAAGCACCACTTCTTGTAAATGTCAAAGTGGTATTTTCGAGTAGCACAGGTGGGTACTACAAACACTTTCCAAGACTCTCTGTTCTTGTCTTTGTTTGCCAAGTATTACCTTTTTATTTTTTATTTATCTTATTTATTTATTTATTTTGGTTTTTCGAAACAGAGTTTCTCTATGTAGCTTTGGAGCCTGTCCTGGTACTCACTCTGTAGACCAGGCTGACCTCGAACTCACAGAGATCCTCCTGCCTCTGTCTCCTGGGATTAAAGGTGTGAGCCACCAATGCCCGGCAGGTATTACCTTTTCATAATAAGTCGATATTGTAATGAGTTAATTTTAATAATAAGTTGATACATTAACAACAACAACAACAACAACAACAACAACAAAAACTCCAAAAGCATTAAGAAGCAGAAAGAAAAGGAAAGAAGAAATGCTTGGAAAGGGGCATTTGTTAATATAGACAGTAAAATATAATTTCTAACTTTGAGCAAAAATGTTAATATCACTGAACAAGAAAAAAAGGTTTAATAGCTGGGCGGTGGTGACACACATCTTTAATCCCAGCACTCAGGAGGGAGAGGCAAGTGGATCTCTGTGGTTCAAGGTTCTACAGAGAGAGTTCTAGGACAGGCTCCACAGAGAAACGCTGTCTCGAAAAAAGAAAAACAAAAAAAGGTTTTCTGCCTTCCAGCATTTGACTTGGGAAAAACATCCAAGAGTTCCTGTAGTGAAATAAATGTTTCCTTGGATATTTTATATTAAGACATTTGAAAATAAGTCAAATTAGGAAAAAGGACTCTGAGGGTCACTTGTAACTGAATTAAGACCTATACAATTCACAGCCTATATTTTATGAAGAAGGAAACTAAAATATATAAAACAACCCTTGAGCACAGGGAATTATTGATGGGGTTTGATAGATTCACTCTCTGAATTACAGTGTGAGTGCCCCACTGTACCTGTATAAAAAACAGCAGGGCCAGCAAGATGGCTCGGCAGGCAAAGTCACTTTATAACAAGCTAGCCACCCAGGTTCTATCCCTGGGACCCAATATGGAAGAAGAAGAGAACTGACATCCATAAGTTGCCTTCAGACATACACACACACACACACACACACACACACACACACACACACACCCACACACACTAACTGTAATTAATTTTTTTTAAAATTCCACAGCATAGCATAGGATCCCATCTGTGCTGATGTGTACATTGGTTAAAATAACACATTTTGGCGCATCTGAGTTTACATCCAAGTTCTTTGACATTAGATAAGTAATTACCTTTCTAAATCTCAGTTTCTACTTCCCAGTTTTGTGGTAGATATTAAATAAGGTTTTTGTTTTTTTATAAAAAACAGTTATCACATAGTTTCTCTCCACCTCAGTTTTCTTGCCACTTACAATAAATTAATTGTGCTTAATCCTATCAAATGATTGTGAGAATTGAAATTAGGAGTGTCTGGACCAGCACCTTCTGATGTTCAGCCATTTATGGTGGTAGTGCTAGTATACCGGATGTAGAAGGGAATGTAAAGATGATCTAAACAAAAAAGAAACTGTAGTGTAGGAGAGGTGAAGCCCAGCTCTGGGGCCCTTAACCTCTTCTGTGCCCTCAGGAGCAATAGCTGTCAGTGGTCCCTAGAGCTACCAAGACCTTTGATTTGTTTGGAGATCTATGCTTCCAGATAAAACTTGGCTTGACGCAGGTGAGGTTTTGAAAGATTGCTCAAAAGCTACTGCTGTCACCAAAATTGGTAGTCTAGAGCAGAAAAGCTCCACCAGTTTCTAGGGCAGCTGTGTGGGCCCCACTACAGAGTGCTGAGGTGTGGTTCCTGTAAGTGGGCCTAGGCTTGCTAGGCTACAAAGTAGGATAGAGGCAATTCACCAGATGCCACAGTGCTTATGTAGGTTTGTCTCTGGTGTGTGTGTGTGTGTGTGTGTGTGTGTGTGTGTGTGTGTGTGTGTGTGTATTTTAAAGATAAGCATTTTCTGTGCTAATCGAGCAGCCCCATTCCTTCCAATGGGAGGGACTGCTGAGAATATGGAGGC